GGGGGGGGGGGGGGCGGGATGGAGAGAGAACGCCAAACACGGAACTGCTTTCTCATCAGCCTCCATTGTAAATACTCCGCTGTGAAAAGTGTTATTTCCATGTGTGTGCTTCGATGGGACAGGGTTTGAGTGTGCTTAGTGTGTGTGTGTTAAGTGCATATTGAAATACCCCGTGAAATACATCTTCATGGTAAAACCTGTGTTTTACAGGGGGGTTTTCCAAATGCTAGCTCTCATTTTATTGGCGGTGACACGAGTGAATAAAAAGCTCGCATCTTTCATACTCTGTGTTGTGTGCCAGTCTCCATGTCGTCTGGGCCCCTCCTGGCTCCCCCGCAGCCCCAGCACCCGGCCTGTTGGGCGTGCCCGTCCCCCAGAACTGTGCCCCCCAGAACCCTGCCCGGCTGGCTCCTTTCCCTCTTGTTCTCAGAAGCTCCAGCCTGGAGGGGTTTCCTCCCAGCCTGCCCGTCACGGCTCCCCGTGTACCGTACTCCCCTGGCCCCTGTCTGATGGGGCTGTTTCTGGCCAGAAGCTCCATTGGCGTGGGGGCAGTTCTGGACCCCTGGTGGTTGAATAACATCCCCCACATCCGCCCAGCAGGCTCTAAGCCAGTGATTCTCAACCTGTGGGTCGCGACCCCTGAAGAAACATCCTGCATATCAGATATTTACATGACGATTCATAACAGTAGCAACATTACAATTATGAAGTAGCAATGAAAATAATTTTATGGTTGGGAGTCACCACCACATGAGCTGTATGAAAGGGTCGCGGCGTTAGGAAGGTTGAGAGTCTAAGCGCTGGCTGGGGCTTGGGGCAGCTGTCCTCACCCTGACCCGAGACCGGGCTCGCGGTTCAGTGAAGGGCCCACCAGGCAGGTTGGAACATTGCTCTCAAGGGAAGTGGACAGTTGTCCTGTCCATGGCGTGGAGGCTGCTGGCCCAGGACAAGCAGAGTGGGACTCGAGGCAGCTGGACCGACCAATTGGACAGGAAAGGGGATCAAGGAAGGGCCGCCGAGCCACACAGACCCCCTGCTGGGCGCCGGGATCCCAACTGCGCCTGCGTGTGCACAGCCCCGGGGTCCAGCGGCAGCTTCCGTTCTGGGGAAACTGGTGGAAAAGAGGGAGGCTCCCTTGGAGTCATCCTCGCGGCTCCCAGAGCCAGGAGCACGGCCCGGCCACTAGGGAGGTGAGCAGCGGCCGCCAGGCCTCTGAACCGGATGGAAGAGGGTCCGCCACCAAAAAGGCGATGCTGAGACGACCCTGGGTGCCCAGGACCAGTGGGATCCCGAGCAGTGAGCCAAGGCCACGCCCAGGGAGCCGCCCAGCAGGGCGTGCAGGTGGGGACACGAGGGAACCTGCGGGACAGACACTGACGGGGCCTCCCCACGCTGCCGACGCCGTGCAGCTGGAAGGAGGGTCCCCGCGCCTGACCCCGGGACCGAGGGGCCGGCCTGTCCTGGGCGAACCGCACACCCAGGAAATGGTCACGATTTTCCCCAACGGGAGAGTCGGGACCTGGCTGCGCTTGGATGTGTGGGAAGGAGGAGACTGGATCGGTTTCCCATGAATTTCTGTTCCTCCTCCGAGGCCCCACTCACGAGTCACTTCCCTAAAGTCTTAGCGTAACCATCTCAGATCTGCTTCCTCCCGGGTCCCTCTGCCCGTGCTGAGCCGGGACCCCACCCCTGCTTCCCAGCACCCACGGGGCGACGTGAAAGCCACGCACTGTGAGAGAGCAGGGTGCACTGGGAGGCTTACACTGAATTGGAATTCAGCTCCCGAAATGCATTGTCACTCTCTTCCCAGGAGGCATTGTCACTCTTCCCAGGAGAACAGGATAAGTCACCTGTGCAGGGCACTGCAGGCTGGCTGTCCACGGTGAGTGGTGAAGTGTGCAGGTCAACAGTTTGGGGTTATTCCCAGAGTTGTGCCATTGTCACCGCCACCCATCTTCATCCCAGAAAAGAACCTCATACGCATCGCAGTTGCTCCCCGTTTTCCACTCCACCCCCCTCTTCCCCAACACAGTGCTTCTTGTCGCTACAGACTAGCCAGTACTGGACTTTGCTTATACTGAATTATACAACACCAGAGCCTGGTGCACAAATTCATGCACCAATGGGGTCCCTCGGCCTGGCCTGCGGATTGGGCCGAAACTGGCTTTCCAACATTCCCTAAGGGGTCCTGGATTGTGAGAGGATGCAGGCCAGGCCAAAGAACCCCACTGGTGCACGATCGGGGCTGGGGAATGGCCGCAGGAGCGCTCTAGGGTGTGTCCAGCCCGCCTCACTCAGTCCCAATTGGCCGGACCCCAGCAGCAAGCTAACCTACTGGTTGGAGCGCCTGCCCCTGGTGGTCAGTGCACATCATAGCGAGCAGTTGAGCAGCCTTAGCATATCATTAGCATATTACACTTTGATTGGTTGAACAGAGGACCAGACACTTAGCATATTAGGCTTTTATTATATAGGCTGTAACAATGTTGCCTTTCATGACTGGCTTCTTTCACTTGACACAGTGTTTTCTAGGTTAATCCGTATTGTAGCATCTCTCCTGGTCCATTTCTTTTTGTTGCTACATAGTATCCCCCAGTGTGGCTATACCAGGTGTACCGGTTAATAATGCGGATTTTTTTCACTAGATGGAGTTACACATCTGTTGATATACATGCGATTTGACATGTATGTTATTTTGTATTGACAATAAGCTTCAAAACTTCACATGTCAAATTTTCTGAAGGTGTTAACATCATAGATATTTTTACGCTTAAAAATGTTAAATTTTGTGCCCCAAAACGAGCGTTTGTGGGAAGTTTTAATTCATTACTTTATTTTGAAAAAAATTGCTACTCAATACTTCGGGAAGCTTATGGTGAACATGCTCCATCTCAAGATACTTGTGACCACGGGTTTCAACGTTTTAAAAGTGATGATTTCAATGTGAAAGACAAAGAACGTCCAGGTCAACTGAAAAAGTTTGAAGACCAACAATTACAAGCATTACTGGATGAAGATGCGTGTCAAACTGAAAAACAACTTGCAGAAAGATGAAACGTTGCTCAGCAAACAATTTCTGATCGTTTACAAGCAATGGGAAAGATTTTAAAGGAAGGAAAATGGGTGCCACATCAACTGAACGAAAGACAAATGGAAAACCGAAAAATCGTCAGTAAAATGTTGCTTCAACGGCCGGAAAGAAAGTCTTTTTTGCATCGAATTGTGACTGGCGATGAAAAGTGGATTTATTCTGAGAATCCCAAACGCACAAAATCATGGGTTGATCCAGGTCCACCACCCAGCGGGGGGCGTGCAGGAGGCAGCCAATCAATGATTCTCTCTCATCATTGATGTTTCTCTCTCCCCCTCTCCTTTCCTCTCTAAAATCAATAAAATATATAAAAAAAAAAAAGAAGAAGACAATGCTCTGGGATTGGTGGGATCAGGAAGGTGTGGTGGATTATGAGCTTCTAACACCAGGTGAAACCGTTAATACTGATGGCCACCGACAACAAAAAATCAATTTGAACCACGCCTTGATCGTAAAACCACCAGAATGGGCCAGAAGACACGGCAAAATAATTTTGCTTCATGATGACGCACCATCACACACTTCAAACCCAGTGAAGGACACGTTAAAAGATCTTGCCTGGGAAGTATGAACCCACCCGCCGTATTCACCAGACCTTGCTCCCTCAGATTCCCACTTGTTCCGATCGATGGCACACGCACTTTCTGAGCAGCACTTCAAAACATACATGAACTGGAAAATTGGGTCCTGAACGGTTTGCCTCAAAACAAGAAAAGTTCTATTGGGACAGTCTCCACAAATTACCTGAAAGATGGGGGAATGTGTAGCTAGCGATGGACATTACTTTGAACAAAGCACTTTTGATGTTTCTCTTGAAATTATCGTGTTTTCTTTGATTACAAAATCCGCATTGTTAACCGGTGCACTAGTACATCCTGGATCTATTCATTCGTGGTGAGTAGACACCAGGGTTGTCTCCACATTTTGTTCTGAGTAACATGCTAAGAACATCCGCACCCAAGTTTTCCGTGGACATCCGTTCCCTGTCCTCTTGGGGGCGCACATGGAGGTGGAGTTTCTGAGTCACGTGACGATTTACCTAAAGAACTGGCAGCTCCCCCCCCCCCCCCCAGCATGCAGGAAGCTTCCTATTCCTCCACATCCTCTCCCGAAGGGCAGCCGTTCTGGTAGGTGTGCAGTGTCTCGCACCATGGCTGAGATTGGCACGTGGAGTGTGTTGTGTTTGCACTTAACACGTTAAGCGCCATGTCAGTCACCGGTGACTGACACTATACTTTCTGTCCGGAAGACAAAACAGTCTGGGCGCTTAACGTGTGAAGAATGTGTAGTTCAGCCCGGCTGGTGTGGCTCAGTGGTTGAGCGTCGACCTGTGAACCAGGAAGTCACAGTCTGATTCCTGGTCAGGGCACATGCCCGGGTTGTGAGCTCGATCCCTAGTGTGGGGTGTGT